AGCTCCGCCGGGCCGGGCCGGGCCGGGCCGGGGCCTGCCCCGCCGGCACAGTTGTTCCTGGAGGAACAAGGGGCTCTGCTGCGCGGGAGAATGAGCCGCTTGGAAGCCCCTAGGCTGGCGGTAGCGTCCCATGAAGGGCTGGCCTGGTCCCTGGGAGGCAGGAAATGGGTTGCTCGGGGACGTGTGCTGCATAACCTTGGCACGGGTGTTTCACCTTTCTGCCTCCCTGTCCCTGTGAATCTGATGAGGGAGACCGGGGGGAGTGCGCGGCCGCAGAAGGAAGGACTGGAGACAGAGCAGGCTGCTCCTCTCCCTCATACGGCAGCCAGTTGCTTTGGGGACTTAGCGCTTCCAGAAAGGCAGAACCTGTGAGTTCATATTTTGCAGGGGCAGGGAGGAGGAAGCAGGTGTTTCCAGTCTGCTGGCCCTAAAAATGTTGCGTCAAGTCCCTGAGACGAGCTAGCAGAGCTGTGAACGAGAAGCGGGTCTTCGTTTTCCAGACAGCCGTGGCACACAGGCCTTTAGAGACACTGGTCGTTTGTGCCGTCCTCACGGTCACGGCACAACTGGAAGAAGAGGGTTTCTCTGTTAGGGAATACGCAGCTGAAAGCTCGATGAAGGCAGGATAACGGCACAGCGTGAGCTCATGAGCATGGGAAACCGAACTTCATGCCGTTCCTTGGGCTTTGTGACGCGTTTCCCTGAAAACACCAGATAGAACGAGATGCCCCTTTTAAACTTGAGAGCCTCTGTTTCCATTAGGCAATGATATGTAGTGGTTGTGCAATTCAGGGCACATGCGTGGGCAGGTTGGCTTTTCAGCTCATTTGTTCAAGCAGGCTCTGTGCCGGGTTTTTACAGCCTTTATACAGATTTTCAAGCAAGAAGCGACAATATATAGGGCTTCTCAGCAGGACTTTGTTTCAACAACTTGTAATTAACAGTGTCTTTTTTTTTTTTTTACTGAAGGAATTGCTGAAATCCAGATGAACAGACCCCATGCTAAAAATTCACTGGGGAAGGTATTTGTGAATGAAGTGAGTATCGCGCTATCTCTGACTGTTGACAGGAACCATGTTTGTGACTGCAAATATTGGGATTTAGAGAAAGACTTGCCATAGCAATGACGGGAGAGGAAACCAGTGAGCGTCCAGTCCCTTTGTGTCTATCAATATATAAGCCTTTTTTTTTTTTATAATATGCACAACAGTTCGGATCTCCTAATCCTCACAAGCTCCATGAAGCAATTTCCTGTTAGTGAATGGGCCTGTGTAAATCCATTGGTCAACTAACAAGTTACCTCTTGGGTTTATTCAGCGCCTGCATTGCAGAAGCACTGGGATTCAAAAGTTACTGGAGGAAACGTATAAGGCTTTCAGTGTCTCTTACTGTGGGCCTGTTGCTTGTGGCTGGACAACCTGGTCCGGGAATTCCCAAACATCCGGGAATGTCTCCTTGCCAAAAAGGAGGCTTACTCCCAATGGAAAGGAGGGGTCATCACTAAGGAGGACTATTCAGCAGTTGCTCGGGGATGTAGGGGGATGGTTAGGAAGGCCAAGGCAGAGATGGAACAGGGGCTGGCTTCCCGGATTAAGGACAACAAGAAGTCCTTTTTTAA